CGATGGCCTCCAACCTAAGAGCGATGGCCTCCAACCTAAGAGCGATGGCCTCCAACCTAAGAGCGATGGCCTCCAACCTAAGAGCGATGGCCTCCACCTAAGAGCGATGGCCTCCAACCTAAGAGCGATGGCCTCCAACCTAAGAGCGATGGCCTCCATTTCTCCGTTTCTCCGAAGGGATCAGGCGCCGCGGCTTATGGCGGGGGCAACCTTGGCCCGAGTGGGAGCAAGCTAGCTACAGCTGCAGGTCGAAAAGGTCTCGTCCAGTGAGGAGGACTGCCTTGAACTGGCCAATGTGATCCTCTATGTTTCTCAAGCGGTCTGGTGCAATGCGCAGACAAACGCAATGTGCCCAGAACACCAACAATCGTGTTGTTGGGCGGACATAAGAGGAGTGAAGCGGGATATTTTCAAGCTTGTGCACTCTTATCAAAAACAATCGAAACCATTTGATTCTGTCAACAAGCTCGAACTGTCGTGCCTCATCTTTGGTAAGCCAGTGCCATCGTGTATATTTATGTGTGGCTCGAATCCCTCCACTGCCAGTGTGGAGAACGAAATCTATTAGCAAGAAAAACCATGGTACGTACACAGCGTCTGCTGTGGGGAGATGCAAGCTTTGGGACCAGGTGCTCAGGAGAGACCAACCCTCTCCCACAAATTTATGGGTGCATGTTTGTGGCAGCGGGGGCAAGGGCGCCCAAGTGGTCTCCTGAATCGGTAGTGGGAAGGCGGTTTGTGGTGGATCGTCTGCCCTTGGGGGCAAGTCTTTCTTGACCGCGACTTCACTCACCCTTAGCATGTTCTCATGTGTTTGGTTTCTCAAGATTCGTGCGGCAGCAATGTCATTCGTTGCTTGTTGCCACAGACGATGAAGGGAATTCGGGAACAAAGTGCTCCAGCGTGCACAATTGTCTGCATTATCATTACCTTGAAATGCCCATTTCTCAATCCAACTGGCGTGTGAGCTGTCTTGGTGGCTCGCAATTTTGTGGACCGTGACCAAGTGGCCTTGCAATGTCCTAGCAAGTGCAAAAAGGAGGGTCCACAGATCGAAATCTTTCTTGCCTATTTTGCATTCCGACGGCCTGTGCAGGGCCTCCTGAAGAGTGCTTACGACTTGGGCGTTATCGCACCAAATACGCACGGAACATCCGTGGCGCAAGACAAACCGCAGGGCACTGATGGCCGCTAAGATTTCGGCACGTCCACTTGTTTGGCGTCTGCCTGGAACACGGCCTTGGGCCAGCGGCCACCAGAGATCAGTGTCGTCCGGATGGGCGACAACGATACCCCAGCCTGCTATCCTGGTGAATTGGCAGGTTGGGTTGACACAAGATCCATCCAGAAAGAGATCACGTGGTTGGAATGGCGGCTGTTCAAAGACATCTGTGGTGTCTGGGCAGTTGGCCAATGCCCTATGCAACTCTCGAACTGACCCAGGCAAGCCCATCCATCCATGGTAAGTCAGGCATTTGGGCAGCCCTCCTGCGACAACCTGTGTTGTGAGCCAGGGGTACGGTCTGGCACTGGCAAGAGGGATGCACTCCCAAAATCTGTGGAATTGGGAATCCTGTTGGCCACAGAACTTACATGTTAGGGTATGGGCTTTATCATTATGGACCTGGGAATCGGCCGTGAAAAACGTACCATTAAGGATCTTACGAAGCAATCCCTGCTGATGTGGATTATATGCACGGAAATTTTCGAGGGTGAATCCTGGGTGGACCCACTCCATCCCCTGGAAGGTTTTCCTTTTGGTCAGGCATTGTTGGACGAGATTTTGCCACCCTTCAAGCAATCGGCGATAGACTTCGGCATGCGACCCATGAAGGAGGGCCAACGGCTGGGATTCGTGGTCGAGGACCCAACCCTGTCCTATTCAGCTCCAGCCTATGGAGTGCAAGCGTTCAAGCAGGACATGACATGGGCCTGGTCGTGGCGGAGTATCCCACCTGGCTTCGGTCAGTCGATCGACGATGTCACTCACTCTGTCCGGGCATGCACGGCGACGGAGAGTGAAAACTGTGTCTAACAACATCGCGCATGCTGGGTCTGATGTTGGATGCTCCACAAGTGACAAGTGTGCAATCGGGCTGATGCCGGGGGCGTGAACACGAAGGCCTCGGCAGGCACCTGTACGTAATGTTCTCACGTGGGTGTCTCCCAAGCTCGCGGACGAGACCGCCGACAGGGCCTGAGGCCAGCCTTTGGTTCTGAGTGCATCGACTTTTTGTCGGTATGGTGCTGGCGATCTAGCCAAAGCATTCCACAGACTGGGCATGGCATTGACTCTGGTCTGAAGGACATGGTTAGTTTTTCGGCGGCCATACTCCATATGAGCTCCAAGATCACGGGCGGATGCTTGCAGCTGGAGGTGTGATTGTCGTGCTACCTGTCGTTCGGCTGCGTCATTTGCCCAGTAGTAGGTCTTAGCTTCATCTAGTTGAAGGTCTAGGAGATTACAAAACTGTGTCATCAACCTGAGGCCTTGGTGGACTTCGGAAATGGTCTTGCCTGTTAGCTCCAGGTTATCAACATATGACCACAGCCTAATGGAAGGGAATCTGATATGCAACCATCGTGACAGTGCTATGTTACACAAAAGCATGGCGGCACAGCTGAGGCCACATCCTTCAGCGAATCCGGTTGTGGTGGTCAGTGGTGGTCCTATTGCGCCACGAACACTGAAAGCCCTTTCCATCTGGTGAAGAGCATTGGCCCATGCGTGGATGATGGGTTTAGCTATTCCAAGATGCAATCCGATGGCTAACAGTGGGAGCCGAGGCAGCAAGTTATATGCTTTAACAAGGTCGGCAACGACTCCAGCGGCAGGGACCTGGTCTGTCATGCATTCCTCAAGGTGCAATTGGATATTTAGCCATAAGTCGGTGCATGACCTACCCGGGATGTTTCCGGTCACTTGTGCGGACACGTACTGGCTCAGGAACGCCAGCGTTTGCTTTGCCCTTATGGATGACCATGTCCTATATACTATGGAAAACACCGTTAGTGGGCGATATTGGCTGGCTCTCCATGCACTGGGGGTCTTTTCTAATGCGTGCACGTGGCCTGTGACAACTTGTTTCGGCCAAAGTGATCTGCCTTGCTCAATGTCTGAGAGCAATGTCAAGATCGGCTCAACGTGGCTCCTGGGCAGAGCTACCAAATCACTTCTTGAGACCCCATCGGGGCCAACCGCTGCTCGAACTTTTTTGTGGCTGACGGCCGTCTGCCAGGTGTGATACGAAATCGGCGCATAGTCCATCTTTAATGGCTCAGGAATTGCAGCTTGGACAAAATCAACAATCGGCGCCCATTCGGTGTCAGGCGTCCTGGCGTGACGGTCCCACCGCTTCATCCATTCAGCTTGGAATTCTTGGTAGATCTCTTCAAGATCAGTGATCGGCTTAGTCTGAGTTAAGGTGTCTCCTATCTGAATGGGTGGCATTACTTCTAGCCAGAGTTTATCTGTGTCCTGGTGGATTACACTGAGGGGGACCCCATTATATTCAATGGGTTCGGCAGGCTCGAAAGCATTAGCTGAAGCGAGCTCGACGGCACATTCCTCGTGGTCTATACTTTCCACAGTGGACACATGATGTG